AATTAAGAAACTTGAAACAATTAAAAAAAAAAACGCAAAATTGAGATTATTACAAGTTATCTAATAAATTCTACTATATTATTTCTACGGAAAATTACATTTACAATCGAAAATTGTAATTTTTGCGTTGTCATAAAAATTTAGCTTTCTCCATGCATCATTTGATTACCAAATACTTTTTAAAAGAATTTTGCTGTTCATTTTTATTAGATACGCTAATTGCATGATGTTCATATTTTTATTTAGTCATAGAAGGGAATGCGTTTTTCCATTCCTTTTCTTTATTTATTTCATAAATTTTTAAAGCGAATTGCGAAAGATCTGATTAATATTTTCTATTTCAATTTCTGCAAAAGCTACGTTTCAACACTTTATAGATGTTATGTTTTTAAGGATGTAATAAAACATTCGTTCAAATTCCGTATACGATACTGTTCAATTTTCTCAACCTTACAAATATTTGATAATGCAATTTCGCTTTTATTACCCATTTCTTTTTCTTCGTCCTTAGGGATATTGTTTCACTTGTTGTTACTTCAAATATTTTCAAGACAAAAGTACGTGTACACAATGTTCTAAAAATGTTACATATGGTATTAAAAGGATTAGAAGAACCTATTTGCTTTTTTGTAACGTTAAATTGCTTTAATTAATGATGACAAATAAAAGTTAGGGTAAATTTTTTACTTAATTATGTATTCTTCGCAGGTTTTTAGGTGTTGCTAGAAATGTTTTAAAATGGAAAGATATTTATCGTATGTACTTTGCTAGATTCTGACACGTTGAAATGTACGGATATTTTATTAATTTCAAGTTTGAAGTGCCGCCACAAAAGATTTCTTATCGTGAAAAATCGAAAAGGAAATTTTACACTATTCCTTTGGGACAATCTCTGTTCGTCCAGGAGTTTTCCAGTTTCGTTTCTCGCAAACCGACACATTCTCGTCCCCTGGGTCTGTTATTTACATTTCTCTATGTGCTAGACGAATTCATATCAAGCCGCGTATCAAGAAGTATTTTATTTTATCCAATATGTATATAGGTATATGTACGTGTATGTACATATGTATTCTATTTACCAAGAAAATATTTGAGCTTTGCGGTCTCTTCTCCTTTAGAATAGAGAGCTTTGTGAGGTGTGATTGAAAAACAAAAAATATATTTTCTTGAAGTCGTCTTGTAAAACGTTTACATGGTAAAAGGATAAAAAGGAATAACATAAATATATCCGTATATATGGATATATTAGTCTATCCATAAATATATAATACGTAGACAGATATTTTGGTTCACTAAATTCCTAAAAATAGATGATGGAAGTTTTGCACTTTTAAAAGTGGTGGATTAGTGTTCCCATACCTTTTGACGGGAGGATTATTCCAATTTTTATTTTTATTTTGAATCAATTTGATTTTACAAACTAAAACAAAAGCTAAAACTAATACAAACCCCTTAAGTGTGATTGAATGATGAAAGTGTAAGAAGTTGAAGACTAAGCAATAAAGAAAACGTTGTTTACTCGGGTTTAATAATTTAATATTAAGCCTAACATATTTTATTTGTTAGTTTCAACACAAGCCAATTTACTTAATTATATAAACCTTTATATTATTACCATTAAAAATATCGAATTAGTGTTTCTATAGATACTGAAAGCATTTCTTATGTACATAATAAATTTACTTGTTCTTCTTATTTATACGATTCATTACTACCACAATTTAATTGGCTGGTCCTGATAACTCATTATTGTTTTTTATGATGTAGTGCCTAAGTTTTGTTCCAAATGTACATAAAATCGGAAAATTTTTAAATACAGTGACCTAAAATAAGAGAATTATATAATTTGATACGCTTTTACTACTTGTTCGAGAGGAACTTAAATTAGAAATTTTCGTATTTCATTTTTTAAGTATACCGGTAACTAAAGAAGTTTGCTACAGTCTTGACTGCTGTTATCACATTTATTTTCTTTATTATAGTTTTTGGTGCTGTTATTGATTTGTTATGCAATCCCTTTTTGTATATTGTGTCTTCTAAATCGATTTTCTTTTCTTTCCAGTTCACCCATGAACAATAACAACAACAATATAAATAGCAACAATAACAACGGTGTATTAAATGGAACCACTAGTCCGAATACGACGGAACCGGACCAGCCCGACCCTGACAATATTAAAATGTTCGTGGGGCAGGTGCCACGCTCGATGGATGAAAACGATTTACGGCAACTTTTCGAACAATACGGTCGCGTCCACTCCATTAATGTCCTTAGGGACAAAACGACAGGGATCAGCAAAGGTAAGCAACATTACATTTACACAGACTTTAGGAAAAAATGGTAACACGTTATTAAAAAACTAATAGCATCGACAGTAAATGAAAACATTTATGGGGTGATTCATAAAAAATAATTGCATCAACTATGCATACAAAATTGAGGGTACGACATAACAAACTAATTAATTTTTGCGTCCTCTCACAACTAATTGATTGAGTATTAATGGTAGCCGTAGGTACGTCTATTCTTACATTATTTTGTGCGTTGAAAAAATAATTATTTGCTTAATTGGGTAATACAGATCGTCGAGGTCTATATCACGATGCTTGGCGTGGACTAATTAATTTAAAGTAATTAATAAATCAGCTGCATGGCAGACAAACACACAATAGGTCTCCGTAGCCATTTACCAATTTGGACGTAATCAATCGATTACTAATACAGTAACGACACCTCCCTCGAGAAGGGCCGCAAAATAACTCTCCTACGTTAACACATGCAAAAGGGGTAATTACCGAAAACAAATCGATTTCATTTTACAACTTCCTTGCTATTACAACCATCAAACTCTAACAGTTCCATATTTATTATTTGGTTAGGAAACCATCACAGCGAGATAGTTAGTTATCTGATTATTTTTGAAACAAATTCTTAAATATTCTTGCAAATGTCTGTCAATTTCGATTTTAAATTAATTTTATAGTATTTCTTGAACTATCGCTTCATGATTTAGCATTAACACCAAAATTATTGCCTGAAGTACAAGTGCACGTATTTATTAAGGAAAACTAGCACCTACAGTAATTTTAATTCAATTTAGTCTGATAACACAGGTCTGCGATAAAAAAGTTTTTTGTATAAATTTATTAAATTAAATTTAGTCTGAAAGTAACTATAGTCGTTTACACCGCCTGAAAAAAAAATAGTTGTAATAAAAGATTGTGTTTCATTTATCTTTAACTATGGCTTCTCGGAGTTGTAAAAACATTTCAAATGTATTTTTTTTACATTTGCCGACAATATACAATAATTAAGCAAAGATTGAATATAACAGACTTTGTAAAAAAAATGCTTATTAAGCTTACTTCAGAATGAAGTTGTCACCAAGATAAACACTGCGTTACGATAAAATATGCCGGTTTTGTGTTGAAGTGTTAAGACAGTGGACTTATGGTAAATCAAAATCATTGTTATTAGGCATTTCTGTCCAGATTAGAATGCAATTGGAACTCGGAGTGAAAAATGTCATCAATACGAGTTTGAAAGAAGAAAGTATCGCTTCCACCACTTTACATTAAACTTGGTTTGATCAAACAGTTTGTAAAGGCATTTCGACTTGACCAACGGTGATTATTTCATGTTTAGATATCGAGGTCATGATTTATATAGGTTTTAAGCATATAAAAAAATCGTAAGGACACAAAAAATTACTTTTTAAGAAAACAGTCAATTCAAAAATCACGTTTTTTTTGTTTATTTTCGATCTTTCCATGCTTTAATATTGTCGGAGGTATTTTTAACCAACACCATC